CAACAAGAGTTACTTACAACTAATTTAAAACTAATTAAATAGATAATAAATTACTTAAAATACAACTTATAACTACTATTTTAACTACGGACTAAAAATCTAATTTAACATTTTCAGCATTTTTGCCGTTGTCGCAATGATACGTGACTGTGAGAGAAAGCGCAAACCTTTATCTAAAAAAATGCACTTTTTATTTACTTGTTCCCGCTCTGTGGCCTTTGCCCTTTCATTTTGTTCACGATCGAATTGAAATAGAAATTTTAATATTTGTCACAACAACAAAATACAGTTAATAGTTTTTTACATTGATAGAAGAGTATTTTCGTTCATCCACAGATTATTCTATTGTGTAGAAATACAGTTAGGTATAGCAATTTGCAGTGATACATTACTATCATTTTACTTTTGTTGCTTTTCTTCGATCCAAGAAAACATCGCAAAATATAAATCAATTAAAATCAAACTGGTGAAAATAAAAAACACGGATAATAGTTTTACATTAATAGAAGAATAATTAGGTTTAGGCAACCTTACTTGTCTCTTATGCGAAAATTTTTCGTGTGTGGTTTTCTCACTGGATGTGGAGATCTGGTAATCCCTAGCAATGCCTCAATGCTTCAATGCTTGAAGCCCTTCAATGCTTCAAGTCCACAACAGCGACATTACCTGTAGTATAGAACACGAAATAATAAAATAATCAAATGTAATTAATTTAAACACCAACATACCTTCACATTTTTGCTGTATCTTATGCGAACATTTTTCGTGGTTGGTTTTCTCACGTGATTCCTAGCGTCTTCAATGCTTCAAGTCCAGAACGGTATCACCAGTATGTTTAGAACAAGAAATCATAAAATAATCAAATGTGTTTAATTTAAACGCCAACACACCTTTACGTGTTTGCGGGGTTTTAAGCCATAATTATACCGTAATTTCCGTCTTGAAGACACATCAAAACACTGAGGCACAAGCACGGTTTTTATATTTTGACTCATATTTATTTTTCGCATCGACTAATATGGATTTTTAATATTCTCAAGTTTTCGAAAAGCACGTGATGATCGTAACCAGAGATAAACATAGATAAAGACAAGCAGCAGTTGTCTCCTGCTCTAATGTTATGGAAAAGTGCTGAATTGTCACACCCCGGATATCACATCACTGATAAACCGATATTGAGAAAACCTAAATTTTGTCTTGCTTAGAAAGTCAGTATTCTAGTAACTAATAAATCTACAATCATATAGGTAATTTCAAAAATCAAGATTTGTGTAATAGCACATAATAATTTGTTTATGCCAATAACCAATAAATTATAAGCTTTGCAGCTTTTCACAAATTCTGAGAGCTTTGGCGTGACCGCCAAGCAGCACTGCGTGAAAGATGATTCTCATTGGTCCGCTCTCATTGTCACTCTCAAATGTCACGTTATAGCCGGACATAATCCGTGTACACACTAAGCGAGCAATTTGAATTTGTTATATGCATTTTAATTGTTTGAATTTCATAGGGTGGGAACTGTTAGCTGCAAATCAATTTATTTGAGTAATATAGAAATTTTATTAATATTGCACAATAAAATTATAACGTTGACGCATTTAAAAAAAAAGTTCATATAAACTCTTGTACTTGTACGTGCCCTTACTTTTTTGCTGTGATCACGCAAAATTTATTTTTGATAAATTTTGTTAATTTGTTAATCAAAACACCATATTTTCAGTATTTCATAAGGGTTTTAGTAGTAAGAAGATTTACTTTTACATGCCCTTACTTTTCTGCTGCGGGCACGCAAAATTTATATTCAACCAATTTGGAATATACCGTAGATATACATTCATGTATATTTCCGGAATATTTGTTTTGAACACACTAGGTATATTCACCTGCACATATACACAATATGTACATACTTGGCATGTTCATCTGCACATATACCCAATATGTGCATACCTAGGATATACTTTTTATAAACTTTGATGAATATACATGCATGTATATTCCACGAACATTCATGTTAGGATGCCATGATTGAAATGGCAGAACATAAACAAGTAAACCTGGTGTGAATTGCGTCACACATGGAGTTCGCCGGGAACTAGCAGGTCGAAGCATTGGGTAGGCGCGGATCTTTTAGAGCCCAATAACTGCCGAACCTCACATAGGGTTAAGTAGCAGTTAGGTAGCAAGCGCATTTAACGACTGGACTCTTAAAAGTACCACAGAGTCGTGGAGACAGGCGAAATAGTATAGACAAGCGAAAAAGTTGATTGGAATGTCAGGCGTCCAAATGGCTGATGTCAAGGAGTCGCTGGGCCCTGAGAACTTTGGTTGGGGTCATGACAGGCCACTGCAGTTTGAACAGACTCCTACACCTACTTGGAATCGGTGATAGCCCCGTATGATGACAATGTGGGACGGCAGAGGAAACATCGTCCGCCTTGGACATTATTTATTTCAGACAAATTTTACAAATTTCTTACTGCTAACTTATCTACGAGTCTTAATTCTAACATCTTTAGAGCCTTTTACACTCTGTGCATGCTGACATCCCTGACTTAACTTACCTTAATCTACCTTAATCTACCTTAACCTAATGTGGGCACATTACCCCTATGTTTAGACCTAAATCTAATACAGCTTCTCTTGTTACCTAAACTAACTTACAGCTAGTCCTGGTCACATCGTATCACCCTCTTGGAGTATGCTACCACTGGTAGGCCATTAGGAGGGGCGTGCTTGTGGCCTACACACTCGCTTGCACGGAACTGTTTTCTCTAGAGTAGAGACGGATTCTCGCCTTGGTAAGAAAGACGGGACGCCTAGGTGGTGAAAGGCGGGACGCCTGGGTGGTGTAGTGTTGTTGCTGCTTTAAGCCTGGCATACATTTGGCATACATTTGATCAAATGTATGCCAAGGCTTAAAGCAGCAACAACGCTACACATTAAAACTGATAATGGTGGAAAAATACACCGAAACGTATTTTAATTGATAAATAGAGACAATAAATGACTGAAACCTAGGAATTGATTTTGATTTGGAATTAAAACACAGTCAGGAAAGTATATACAAAAATGGCAATGTCATAGCAAATCTTAGGTTACTGAGTTTTTCCTCCGATTTATTAATTCCTCTGTCTTCCGAGTGGATGTTTTTTAAAATATCTTCCAGCACCAGTGTAAACAGTTTGGGTAACAAAATGTTCCCTTGCCTAACGCCTATTTGAATCAGGATTTCCCCATCTATTTAGAATTAGAATAGTTCATACAGTGTCTTCCTGTAAAAAAATCAATATTTTTTTTGTACTCTCTAAGTGGCCCCTATACACCCTAAAAAGGAATGACGCCAATTTTTAATCACCCTGTATGAGGAGGCAACTGCAAAACTAAATACCCATTCTTAAACAGATCGATTCAAGATGGAAAAAGGCATCCGACAGAAGGACAGAATTTCTCCCAAACTTTTCTCCATTCCGCTGAAACATATATTTAAAAAGATTAACTTGGCCGATAAAGGCGTAACAGTGAATGTTGAAAACTACACCACCACGTTTTGCAGACGATATCGTGGTGATCTCAGCCGGACTAGATGAGACAAATAAAATGGTCTCAGATATCCCATACCCCATTCATGGCGAATCTTCGTCCCCAGCTGTAACCTAATAATAGAAGCACCAGGAATTCAATTCGTAACAGCTTACAAATATCTGCGACGTGAGATCTGTTTGGGCAGAGACAATCAGACCTGTGAACTAAATAGAAGGATAGGACTGACTTGGGCTGCCTTTGGAAAGCTGAGACATGCATTCAAATCAGATATACCTGTATGCTTCAAACGAAAAGTGTACGAGTGCATCTTCTCGCTATTGACGTCTGGTTCGGACACACCAACATTAACATAAGAATAACTCAACAAGTCCTGGAGAGGCCGATGTTGGCACCGACACTGCGAGATTAAATACATATCAAGAACTACACAGAAGAACAAATGTTACAGACTACAATAGAAAGAGTCACGCACTTTACTGCTGCAATAGAACTTGGCTGGCGACGTAGCAAAATTTTAAAGAAAATAGAGGGACGAAGATAATACTGGAGTGCCGCCCCGGAGACAAAGCACACAGGAACAAAGGACGACCGCCGACTCGATGGACGGACGATTTGAAAATAATTTTTACAAATTGAACCCAAGATGCCCAATACCAAGCAAAATTGTTTAGGTTAAGAGAGGATTGTGTCCTACAATGGACGCGATGATGACTATATGATGATGATGAACGAACATGAGTATCCATCTCTCCACTAAACCTAATAATATAAATATTGACATAAAAACAGAAACACTTGACTCAGAGATCAAACACCAAAAAACCTTAACAGATGGAGCATGGAAAATTCGAAAATCCATAACATATTAGCAGATGCCTGGGATTATTTGGAAACATCTTCAAAAGAAGTTGTTGGGAAAACAACAGTTACAAAACACCAAAATTTAGCAAAACGGTGAAATGAAAGCAATGGAAAATTAAAATACTAAGAAGCATTTCCAGACTACAAGAATGACGATCACAATTCATAAAAACCACAAAAATGCGTGAAGATACGAAATAGAATAAAAAACAAAATCTGGCTAATAAAGCAACACTGGCAAACAATCCCACAAACATGAGGCTGTTTTATACAGAGCTTAAAAAGGAGTGTGGATAATGACAAGTTTTTCTTAACTCTACAAACATTAATTTTAAAAAGCGTACACCAAAACAATTTATTTGCTGTTCATACATAGGTGAGGTAACTATATCACTATGAGACTTCTTCGTTTATTACAACAAACATTAGATATTTACAATCAGTCACTTTAAAGATACAGCACTGATGAAACTATCCCTTGAGTCCGCCGTGTTTCCCGCCTGAAAATCGTCATTATTATCATCACTGTAGTGAACTAGTTCAGCTTCAACAGCCTACCTAGAAGCAGTCCATTTCCAAGTCGAGCATCACCAATGCCACCGCCCACCACTCCAACTCCTCCATGAGCCGAAGAGAGTCCCAGTCCTCCATTAAGACCTGAGAGCCCCAGTCCTCCATTAATAGCAGAAAGCCCCAATCCTCCATTGATGGCTGAAACTCCCAAACCTCCATTGATGGCTGAAAGTCCCAAGCCTCCATTGATGGCAGACAGCCCTAAACCTCCATTGATGCCGGACAATCCCAATCCCCCTTGGACAGCAGACACGCCCAATGTACCCACATTTACCGGAGTGGGCACCGCGACAGGTGAAGGTACTGGGACATCTACAGCTACTGGGGAAGATACGGGAACTCCTACAGCTCTGGGACTGTCCACTCCCACAGCTATGATTAAATAAGTGAAAATGACAAACAACATTCTACACTTTTAACTGGTTACTGACCGATGGGCCTGGAAACAGGTACTAGTCTGGGCACATCTATGGGAACAGCCCGTGGAACATCTACAGCGTAGGGAGCTGGTACATCTACATGCACGCGGCGTGGCACGTCAACAGGGCGTGGCACTGATACGGGAATTGGAACAGGGCGCGGTACGTCTATGGGGTGGGGAACTGGAACTGATAAAGGCACGTGGCGATCGACGATGGATGCAGAAGATGATGCAGTGCGAACTACGGGACCCACTCCAATGCCAGTAGTACCAATTATTCCAGTTCCTAAAATTCGACATTTATATTCAATAATTCTGGTCTACTACGAGTATGTTACGAAGTTTTGAGCGCGGTGTTAGAAGTTTGTTGATTAAAGTCGTAACAAAAAAAAACTTGAATGTGCCTCTGGTAGTACCAAGCATTTTTATTTTGTAGTCAGACGTGTATTGAACATATTTATTGGTTGGTGCTAAAAAAACTTACCTAAAGTGCCAAGCCCTGTACCGAGTAGTCCAGTTCCAACCACTCCAGTTCCAACTAGTCCAGATCCGACTAGTCCAGTACCAACTACTCCACTGCCAACTATGCCAGTGCCGACTAGTCCATGGCCGACTAGCCCACTGCTTACTAGTCCATTTCGCAGAACAACTAAAAAAATATTTAGTTTTCTTCATACTTGTATTCACTCGCAAATATCGTATATTATAAAATTTTTGGAAATTAACTGAGTAGAGCTTTAACTTCGGGACCCTGAGAGCATGAATTATAATGAAAACTGAGCAAGGCGAGTCGTTGTGGACGGTAGGCAGCTTCTATACACGGGGTTTCACGCATATGGTCTGTTATCCGTAACTTGAACAATGTAGCTAATTTAATTCCGAAAATTGTACTATTTTAATCATGCTAAATCCGTTCTCTACATTTTTTGAAACTGTGGCATCTTTAGTTATTTCGGAAATAAACTGTATTATGAGTAGCTACTATAATAAATTGAAGATGTGAAGTCGTGAACTTCGGATTGTCGTGAAAATGGTGGGAGTTTTACCATTTTTACGATTTAAGAATTTGTCAGGCCCTACTTTTATCCATATTATTCCAAAAAAGATGTCAAGTCTGTCATATAGGCTCTTAGAAAAACGAATGTTTTCCAAATTGTAACTCCCTATATTTTGCACACAAACCTGTTGAGCTTCAAGAAATGGACCACTTTCCATTAAATGTTAACTGAAAATGTATAAGAACAGATTTTTGTAATTAAAAAACACCTTTTACCCTGCAACAGTATCTGGGGTACTCCTGCACCCCACCCTTTAATAAATGGACTGTAATTTTGTTATTCTTGGCAACATGCCACTGTGCGCTCGTGTAGTCTTTTGCATTAACATATCAGTTGTTACCGCCCCTTGAACCATAATTACAGCTTATATATTATGATATTTAAGCTGTGCCATAAGTTTTGTTCTATCCACCCTACAGTCGCCCTGTCAGAAAGTGTCTCCCTTTATCTTCTGCATTGTTTTTTTGGTGCATGCTTACTTCTGGTAGTGTTTTTGGTGTATTGATGTTAAGCAGTGTTTTCGCTATATTGTAGGACGGCTTTTGAAAAGTTACCATTCCTTCATATACAGGAGCAAATTTGTATAACTGGCTACACCTTACCTTCGCCAACAAGTTAAATTACCCCTGAAGCTCAGTTATTTACAAATGAGGCTAATTTGATCTATAACATCAACAGAGTGAGTGTCTGCAAATTGAAGAAGTCTTTCTCAAATGATATCAAAAAAAAGTTTCAAATGGAACAGCTAACTCATTTCGAACTCGTAAAAGAAATATAGTAATTCACCTTCTTGACTGGCGGGGTTTCAACATGGTGGATAATATCGCCACTTTTACCGGCACAGAAATAAGTTCACAGACAGAGCAATATGCAAGATACAAGGGCGTTAAAGCTTCAAAAAAAAGTTGGTATTTTCTCTTTAACTCCTACGTGTTATGAGATATTTATCTCAAATTTTTAACGTAGGCTAATACTTAGAGCCTTTACCCGTAGGTTAGGCGACTGGTTGTGAATATTTACAGGCGGTTCTATTTTTTAGAGGCCTCTTAGCCCCCAAAGTTTTTTATGGTGCGCCACGGACTTCGACCGAACACATTTTTGCATTTATTGTTCAATTTGAGAATGTTCTGACCTCTTGCAGTGTTTTCGTGTCTGTCGTCGTTTTCGAGTTATTTGCACAAATATAAGTCTATGTAGGGTTTCTGGGTGATTTTCTAAGAATTTTTTTATATTTTTTTGTGTCCTTTTGTTGACATTTTTTTGTGAAAGCTTCAAGTGCAAGATGAAGTTAAATTAGGGATGGCTGACGAGATAACTATTTTTTTTTACATTAATTTAAATTATAAAAATGTGAATTTTTCAATTCAAATGAATATTTCAATTTATTATGAAATTAATTTATTTCACAAAAAATGTAAACAAATAGAGGCAATAAAATTATAATAAAATTGATGGAAAATCACCCATATTTATGCAAATAGCTCGAAAACGAAGACAGATGAATACATACACGACACATACTAAAAAACTGCAAGAGATTTGAAAATCCTTAAATTGAACAACAAATTCAAAAATTTGTCCGGTCGAACAAAAAAGTTCACCTTTAGAATTAGTTTGCCTTTGGAAAAAGAAAAGACGCTGTAGATTTTCACAACCAGTCGCTTTACCTACGAGTAAGGGTCTAAACATTAGCCTACTTTAAAACTGTGAGGAAAATATCTTATAAACTGTAGGAGTTAAAGAGGAAATGCCAAAATGTGTTTGAAACTTTAATACCCTGTACTCGACTTGTTTTGAGGTCCTCTACACGCCCCTACTCTGTGTCCATAAGGTTTTGAACCACCCTGTATGTAGGCAAGTAAATAGACAATTACATTTATTTTTGAAAATGGAAACTATGCTCTGAGAAAAATGGGGAGTTTTTCAATTTTAATTTATAATTAATAAATAAGAAATTATTTTTTAAACAATTTCAATGTTATGTGGCAAATTTTACATTTTCTAAGGCACAATATGTATAAAAGTATGTTGCCCATTGCAGAATATGTTGTAATTTGGCTAGTATCGGTAACAACGTTCAAGACCTCTCAGGGTTTTATAATAGGTCTTTTTTCGTAATAAATTTTATGATTATATTATATTTATTGCCATAAGATTCGAATATCTAAAAAACCGTTAAAAATAGAGATAAAACATTCTAGACCATTAAAAGTATTCAGATCCTCTGGAAAATCTCAATTTTATAGTAAAATTCTGCGGGTTTTTGTGAAAGGAAGCGACTTGACTTCTACGGTATAACCTGAAATGCCAATTTAAAAAGTATATTGTAGTCAATCCCCGAAATCAGGGGAATTACGGCGGGACGGCAACATTTGGCAAGCGAGAGAAGAACGGAATTGGCAACATTGGGGCTACTTCACAGCTGGCATATTAGATGGCGCGGTGGTACTGCCGGGCAGTGGCTGGCGTTGTCCAGGGATGATTGGATAATCAGTAGGGATTCTTTGATTTAATGGAGATCGTACAAGGCGTTCATTAAATTGCCTAAATTTGTATCGAGCGCTTTTGTATGTAAGCTTTTACAAAAAATTACTCTAACAATATTTTCGATGCAGGTATTGAGCAATTATTCCAATCGTATCTTTGGAGTTTTTTGAACAGCGAATTAGAGCAGTTTTCAAACACTTCAAAAAATGAAAGTTTTACTCACAGCCAAAAGATGTCCTCCCTTCCGGTATAATTCGTAGAACTGGGCAATATCGCAAAAAGCACAAAGTAAATCTTTTATACAAAAAATATCTCATTAATCGTTCTATCAACACGAAAATTAGCTTTTCAGATATTCCAGGCCATTTCTCTTTTAATCATATTGTGAGAATGACTTAGATGATTCTGGCTTAGAAGAGCTAGTGAACTCGGGAACGAGCGTTCGAGTTCACTATGGTGCCCATTTTGAAAAATTTATACATCTTGCAAAAACTTCGTTAATAGAAGCACTTTTCTCGTATAACCTCCATAAGTATAAAATTTTCAATAAAGTATCTTTGCACGTGAGAAACTGAGGTATTTACTTGGAGCTTTACACAAATACGTAAAATCATGTATTTCAAACCGTTCGGGTTCAAACCGTAAAGCCTAAAACTTGTAAATGTACCGTGAAAAGTAAACTGGAAAAGTTACCTTGAAACGCCTCATTTGGGAAACAAAATTGATTTATCGAACAAGATATCAATTTTCCTCGATTACCTCCAACCGTGTCTGACATATAAGTAGATTTGTTAAAAATTAATCTCAAATTTAAATCTGGCGCTTAAGTTGTGAGGAAATCGCTGAAAGCTTAATGCCTGAAGAAAATGAATAAGTTATTGAAGGGATGTATCCAGAATGTTCCTGGTACTCCAAATAATCTCTCCTCGAGAGTTATAACAGTTAAATCAAACAATTGCTAACGTTGCACATCAACTTTACTTTTTTGGGTTATCCTACTTGTCCTTCTGTACTTTCTCCTACGTTTTTATGTTCCTAATCTTCTCTTGATAATTCAACAGTTCTGATCAGGCCTGATTTAATGCCAGACTATCAGATCTGCCAAGTATTTCTCATACAAGCAGATTCTTACTGCAGATGCGAGATTTCCAAATGGTTTAAAATGCGAACGAATCATTAAATTTTGCAGCCAAAAACAAAACGATTATCATGCAAATGTAATATTTTATTGCTTTGTCAAACATCCCGAAAGTTTCTAAACTTTATAGATAACCAGAGATAATTCAAAAATTAACTAGTTTATTTTAGGAACTTTTCACAAACTCGAATTGAATGAAAGCTAAATAACATTCGCTTACCACCAGAGCCTCCAAGACCTGCATCTCCAAGAATCAGTCCTCTTTTGTCTTGTTTCCTGCCCTCTTCAGTTGCAACGATGGCCAGTAAGGCAAAGAGAAAACAGGCCTTAAAAAAGTTTAAATTTAATCAACCACCTTTTGTCACCGGAAAATATTGCTTACTTGCAATGCCCTCATTGTGTGAACGATATGAGTACAAATTTCTTCTGCGAATGTGCACTTAAAGTATATATTTATATTCACCAAGGTGGTTTCCACCTCCCCCTTTCGATGCTTTTAGTACTGTTGTTGCTTTGTGCGGTTTTTCATTGACATATGGATTAGGTGCAGGCAATTTATTGTTGGCCATATTTTTCAGAAATTTCTCGAAGGTTTTTTAGGCCCGTGAAAGGAACCAAAATTTCCTCTTGACGATTAATGAATTAGTCTAATAAGATACAAATTTCAGAAATATCACACTGGTAAACGTATTTTGAAAATTTTCACGTCACGTTTTTCTTACTGACCTTCCACTTCAGAGATCGATTTTTTAAATATACAGCAGCGTAGATTTCTTAATTTGCCCTTTCATTTGGGTGACTTTTTTGAAGATCGACACAAGTTCTTTTGCTGATTTTTTACACAATCCTAGGTTTATGATAGCTGGTAGAGTTGACCCGACTTTTTCACAGAAAAGTCACTAAAAGCCAAGTTCGAGGAAACTGAAGCCAGAAGGATGAGCGAGATCATTTTTCTGTCAGTGAGAGGAAGGTGTAACGTAACGTCTGGTGTAGTGGGTTTTAATTTAAACTTTATGTTCGACTGATGTATTGTTTCTTTTACATTGAAAATTCGTTCATGCCTTTTGCGAATATGTTCCTGTTTAGGCTTCCGTAGCAGAAATATTCACCGTTCGGTCGCTTCATTTGTGCCAACCACAATTTCCATAAACAAGTAAACAGAAAAAATCCCGTGTGGGTTACAAAATGGTACGGTTATGTATCTGCTTACAGGTGAACTACATTATTTATCCATTTTCAATAAAAATTTGTAATTATATCCTGTTACCCATATACGAACGAAAATCCTTGAGACTGTGCAGGAAAATTATACTGAATGACTGAAAGCAGCGCCTGTTGATTTCAGTTTTCTTGCTTCTACGCCATATCAGTTTACCGGTTTGGGAGTGGAGAGAAAAACTGCAAAAAAATGCCAAGGGGATTTGTTCGAAGAAACGGTATATCGGATCCTGTAAAGGATTATTGATTCAGATCCTGCTATATGACTGACCGGTCGATCGACCGAAGGAGCCCAAATGAGTTTCACATATCCAAAATGAGAATTTTCCGGTATTAATATGACAACTAAATGTTTGTCTTTGATAAGAGGCAGATTGTTTTTTGCACTCATCCCCTAAAACTTAAACCTGGCAAATGTGTAGTTAGTAGTGCAAAATAATACTGTAAAACGTCACATTAAGAACCCTTGAAAATTGAGCTAAAGAATCCCATTCACTTGACAAGGAAACGTTATTCAATAACTGAAAAAACCCGTGCAATCCGTGTCAACCCGTTCCATGTTCCATGCCTGACTAATTCAGAGCCAACGCCCTTCTGTTACGCGCTTGCATACATTTCCCTAATCGCTGCACATTTTTGCGCTTTAATTCATTAAGAAGAATTTAACACTCTTATGAATAGTAAACAATTCATTAACTGAAAGGACGTTTAAAGTTTTCTAACGGCCAAGGCCTAAAGTGATGCAACAGCTGCTCGGGAAGCCTATGAAATTTTCGGAAGAAACCAACAACAAAAATTAGGGTTTGAAATGATGGACATTTTCTAGGAATAAAATAATTGAATAGGGTCGAATGAATTTCGCCCGCGGTTAATTTTCAAATTAACCTGCAAAGGGCAAGACACCTGCAGGGAAGATTTTCCTGCCCAGTACTTGTACTTTAAGTATTTTCTTGCGTCCTTTTAAAGCTAGCCTCTTAAAACAATCTTGAAAGAAGCCGTAATCCGTATTCAAAGTCTAAGACAAAGAACGGAACTATGTAAACTTGAGCTTTGGGTGCCGAGGGTCAGTGGAGAGCGAAGGGGGACAGATCTGGTTATAATAGATAACCTCACCCAAGCTGCTACAGTTGCACCCTAGAGTGTGGATACTAACGACCAGAACATATCATACAAAATGAAAATTCTGGTACGTAGTCAGTATAATAATAATGAACTAGCCTCTTACATGCACTAAACAATGCATTTTTATTTTTTGCTCCTTAATTCATTTCAGATCTGTCTTTGTGTGATAGTAGGCGTGGTTTTGGCTACCGAAAAGCCTGAAGAGAAAAAGCCGAAACCCGTAGAGAAGAAAGTGGACAAGCGTGGATTGCATGGGTTGGGTATCGCAGGTAGGAGTTTTTATATCTGGTTGTTTACTAGTGGATGTGATTTGTTTTTACGCAGGACATGGACTGCTAGGAGGAGTCGGAGGATGGGGTAGTTTGGGTAGCGGATTGGTTCTGGGCGGCGTTGGTCCCGTGGGCTCTATTGGGGGAGTTGGACTTACCTCTGTAGGATCTGGTAAGTCTAAAGCGCCATTCGACGATGTTCAAAAATTAGAACACTTAGACACAATATATTTAATTGCACGCTAATTAATTTTGACTAAAACGTGAGGAAGGACACCTTTGACTTAGGACAGCCAGGTTTCAAGTCGTTTTTCGAACTGTTCGCACCCAGTGTTTTAAATAGAAAAAGTTAAGAAATTATAATATTTTTTGAAAATTACTTTTATATTGGTAGTAATAAACATCTTGCGGCATTCAAGTTACCAAAGGCTCAAAACATTTTAAAATAAATCGGTCACTTCTAACTCCACAAAAGTTATAAGCCCCGAATTTTCCTCTCATTGCTTTACGGAGTCTTTACGTAATTGTATGTGACGCCCCGTTTTCGAGTAAAAAATTAAAATCCCACCGATGCAGTATTCGAGTTGCCACATGCTCGAAATATGTTAAATTCTAAACCTGATAATTTTCAGTTATAATATCACAAAAATCTAAATTTTTTACGCAAATTATTTCGATTGTTATGAGAATTTTTTGTTTGAATTTGAATTTTTGTTTTCTGTTTGGTTAATGAGCTCCTGTTCTTCAACACCTCGTTTAGCCAGAGCCGACCAGCGTACATTGGATGAGAACTATTTTTGCCGAAATTTTGGTTCTCTTAGACATTGTGTTTATTCCCAATGGATAGTTTTCGCCCAATTCCCATTCTGCCAATTTGGATGAACAGTGAGAAAAATTCAGTTTTTTGTAACATTTGGTCTACTGTTCTCTATAAATTTCAAAAATAATCTTACAAGACACCAGTTCGGGTTTGATGAACTTTTCACAATTGAACTTTGCAGTCTACAGCCTCATTATCCCGCCCCGAAAGCGCCAACGAGCTTAAATAAGAACAGTTTTCTTCATAGTAGCTTTGCATTGTTTTACATAAATCTTCCACGGATAGCGATTTCAGTGTATTGTTCTCTGTCCGCACGGAGAAGGGACTGGTTTCTTTCCACATTTCTTGCTTTTCTGATGTCCAAACATTTTAATATGAATCAGTTTCTGTTGATTCAAGAATAGTGAAAAGTCCCGGATATTGATTAAGCTAAAAATTAGGCTTCAATTTTATAATCAATAGCAAAGACAGAAACCCTCTTGACATTCTTGCATGCGCCTCCGCGATTTCGCGAGTGAATAAAATAAAATTTTGCCGTTGCAGTTCGAACTATCACGTGCTCAATATATATTAAAATAAAACGAATACTTTTCAATAAAAAAAATTATCAGCTTCAGTTTTCTCCTTTATTCATAAACAGAGAAGTTATTTTGACATTTTGTTCATCGACGCCCCGTTTTCAGCAAAAAAATTTAAATGGTTGTAAAAAAGCTGCTTTTTTTCAATACAAGTGATGTGAGTCCCAGATTTTTAATACTTTCCAATCTTATAATGGATTGGGAAGAGAAAATAATTTCTCTCTATATTTATCCGTGCAACGTCCAGTGTTCGAGCCAAAAAATAAAAGTATAAAAGTCGAAGAAGTCCACTGTCGGACATATACCTCCCATAGTGTCTACTACCACTCTCGGTCTTGTCGGTCCTGTACCTAGTTTCTCCGGATTCTCTCAATATCATCCGTCCAACTTGTTGGTGGCCTGCCTCCTTTTCTACAGGCTTCCTGCCTTAGTCTCCACTCCAGAATACGCCTTGACTATCGTCCATCCGTTATTCGTGTCAAATGGCCGATTTTTGTCGAAAAACCTTGGCAAGTCTCAACGTTTCCTGTATAACTACAAGGTTCATTTAATCTTCCAAACTGACCCCAGTGCAGACTAATACTCAGTCCTCCACATCTAACCCCTATATTACAGAACGCAAACAGTACAGTTTGCTTCTGAATGCTTCCATGTTGGTGTATTTTATTGTTAAAAAGGTCCAATTTATTGTTAAAAATCCACATTCTTCCATGTAAAATAGTGGAAAAATTTATCTAGATTCAAATTATGAATTATTATTACTTGTGAAGAATCCTTCATAGAATAAGCTTCTTTCTTTAGCAAACCCATATATTTTTGCTGTTTGCGACTCCCAGTAGAAAATGTTCATTTTTATTCTCTATAGGATTTTATCATCCGTGGGAATTTGTACGTTTATTACGAATCTCTGCTGACCATCATCATCATATCATCCCATGCACGTCCACTCCTGAACGTAGGGCTCTTCCGTCTCCACGCTTGCCTGTCTTGAATTATCAGCATCTATCTTTCCATTGCTTTCTAGAGAACCTGTAGACGGTTTGCACTACATTTAGTTCAAGCAACCTTACGCTTGAGGTCAATGGGTATTTTCGGTTCCTTAAGTTTGGTTCCTAACTTCCTTTTGAAGATTTCAGCACTTTTATTTTCTGCCCCAAGCATGATCGTGTGTTCAAGATATACCTAGTTCTCAAAAACCTCGAGAACGTGACTGTTAACAGTCAGAGCGATATGCCTTTGGCTTAAGATTTTCGTTTTGTCGAGGTTGATTTCTAAACTTACAGCCATACCTAGATGCCCGATGCAATTCCCGAATAATTTGATCTAATTAATCCTCGTCGCTACTTATCAATACGATGCAGTCGGTGAATCTAAGGTGGCTAAGGTACCCTTTATCTATGTTAAACCCTCTTTCCTCCCATTCCAAATTTTTAAAGACATGCTCTATCGCGAGAGTAAAGAGTTTGGGGAAATTGAATCGCCCCGGCGTACACATCGCCTAACTGGTATCAAAACGGCTTAAGACGGATACGTCGTCACAAATGTGTTTTTCGGAGGCAAATACATAGTCATTCTCATTTTTCAACGAGCTGTCGGGTCTGTTCCAGGTCCATTTCCTTTGAAGTTGTTTCCCAATGGAAGTATGCATCCAGAACATTTTCTCGCTGTTCAGAAAATTAATCATAGCTTGTCCTCTGACATTTCTCTTCCCAAGAACGAACCTTTCGATGTGTGGGGGGCCAGGGGTATGCTAACAAGCAACGATATTTTATATTTTGAATTCTATTTACTTTAATTATTCTCAATTTTAATAGACTATGGCCCTATTTGGGGTGTAGCATACTTAGTCACAGCTGGTAAAGGTTTTACAATTCTGTGCACCTAAGGAATTACGTATTCGCAAAACCTTGTATTTCCATTATCTTCTAGAACATTTTTCCTCTTTGGTCGATTTTCAACAGCTGCTGTTGAAGCTAAAACGTTATGTAAAAAGATACAAGTAATAGTCGACTTAAAACAAAACAAACACGAACTGATAGAAAAGAATTGTAGTACTACAACTACACAAAATTTCAACCGAAAATCAAATGGCCCTCAGCAGTCAGAATTTATCGAGTTCCAACAACAATGAAATACAAAAACAAAAACAAACTGAAAATCTTGGAAAATTGAATATTGAACCCATTTCCGATTTGATTCCAAACTGTATCTGAGAACACCACTGACAATGGAAGGCGAAAATAAATTCTTAAAGCATGATGATTTTAAAATCCATTTGATCATTTTGATCCATTTTGTCGCTGTACAATAACAAGCAAAAATAACAAAATGATCGCGAAATCACCGGACTGATGAATTGAGCAACTGTTCAATTGCAGAGAAGTAATAGTTGGGTTGAAATCCTATGAATGATTGGGATTGGATAATGCAAAAATGACTGAATTAAGATTGGTGGCATTAATAGATGTAACGCAGATCTGGTTGACCAGTGATATCCAGAGCCAGTAGAGTGTTGCAGAAGAATGGAAAGTTGAAATAACTATGTGTGTACTTGGAACAGCGACCTGCCAAATATTGAAGACAGTCAAATATTTTAGAAACGCTTTTGAATCTACTACGCTGACTTGGAGACGCCACGTAGTAAGTGCGAACCAAACTACTGCTTGCCTGGAAGTTTGAAAGTTTGTTCCGAGGTACGTGTGAGCAAGTTTACACAGGTGTTATTAAACTTGCAGAAACATATAGAAGTATTGTAGAGTGGTAGGTCTTGAAAAGGTTACACTAAAATTGACAAAGACTGCAAGTTTGCTTGGGTGTAAGCCTGCCCTAAGACGCATACCCGTCCAAACATTTTCAAGCATTTTCTTCTGGCAGTGAAAAATCTGAAAAAAACAACAGAACTGGGATAAACGGTCAGATTGGACCTCCTTCTTTGGAAAGAGGTCTAATATAAGTTTCATTAAGAACCAAATGAATGACCTGAGCCATGGTGAACCCCGGGCACTCATCCCGTTTAGGAACCCTTCCAAATTTAATTAAACAGGGCTAGGAAAGTATGCACTTGCAGAACCTAGACGGAAAACCGCAAGAGCCCATAGTAGGAATATTTGTGGCATGCACATGTAATGCCGTTGCAGGGAGTAGACATCTGCTCTTTGGTGAGTCAAAGATGCTGGGCACGTGTGAGCTCCAGCAAAATGTACTCTTTCTCTCTCAAGTAAGGCTTTTAGAATAGCTCCACGACAAAGGCATGTACTAAAACCTTCTCTTCTCTACGTATTGCCAGAAGGAGCCCTTCACAAGACACGAGAGAATTGTATCGCACACCTAGTGGCATCACATAGATACTACAATAATTCGGACACTACAGATCTACTATAAGCACAGCATGCATCGACACTCCCAATAAATCTAAAGGGTAAGATCTGCGACCAATGTATCCTTCGCCGGTGTACATATGATGCGAAAGCCTTAACACTGACAAAACAAACTGCAAAGAAAATCAGAGTAACTCAGTATGCAACGAGCGATCTATTCTGGGATTATCCTAACAAAATCGAGTGCCAAACATTGAAATCCTCAGAAGAAATGGCCTGCAAGATGTCATGGGCTGAATTGAGACATATTCTTAGAAAGAGAAGAAAGACATATTCTTAGAATGACCAAATAATCCAAGCAATGAGAGAAATAAGAGACCCAATGTCAGTAGATTACTTGAGAGACCACCGAAGTACTGATATAAAACTTGAACACTGAGGTCACAGCTAAAGCTATCTCTTAAAGAAACAATAAACAGTTTTAAAATAAGGACAGGCATATCATCAGTCTTGTGATCTCTAACGAGTTTAAAACTTCGTTTATCTATTCCAGTTGCTGCAGCTCCCGTCGTCGAATTAGGCTCCCACGTTCACACTCATACCACAATCACCAGAAACTTGGGAGTACCAGTAGCCACGCCCGTAGGTGTACCAGTTGACAGGCCTGTAGGTGTTCCCGTAGGAGTGGACGTGCCCATTCCAGTCGACCGGCCAATCGCTGTGCCCGTCCACCGGCCCATTGCCGTGCCTGTTGACCGACCTGTTGGGGGTGAGTTAAATAGGGATATCAATCAATGAACAGACATTGACTTGTTCGCTCTGTTTGCAGTTCCAGTAGACAGGCCAGTTCTGCAAGACGTGCCCAGTCCTTATGCTGTAGCCATAGACAGACCCGTGCCAGTGGCCGTACCAGTGCCCCATCCAGTGGGAGTACCCCGCCCAGTTCCCTACGGCGTACCAGCCCCTTATCCAGTGCTGTCCAAACTGCTGCTGTCCCATAAGTGAGAACTGATTTTGCAAACGTTCGTCAAAAGTTTCAATCTTGTACAAATTAAGAAACGTTAATAAATTGACGGATGATTTTTGAAGTGGTTAATAAATCTGCTGTAAATTAATAGTTCCATTCATTGAAACATGACAGTCCCGATCCACAAAGTGGAGATTTTTATCAACGTGTGTTAGGAATGAATACCACAGAAGGCCTAAAGGAAGTCCGATTGGGAACATATTTTTTTTACATCAGCAAGGTAAGGTTTGAATTTAGTGTAGTGGGCTTCCAGAGCAGTTACTTCTCAAAATTTCGTCGTCATCGAACTAGAAAGTTGAAATTCCAGGAATTTAGTGACAAAAGGGGAAATTTAATTGTTATGAAAAATTAGTGAACGGGGAAATTGCGTTGACGCTTGAAAAATTCTTCAACATAAGTTAAATAATAGGTAAGATGGATCCATCGAACCAATCAAGTGTACCCAGCAAACAACCAAGTATATAAAAGTGTCCCATTAAAAAAATGACACCGTTGGGCTTCTTTCTTTGGAGCCAAGCCTTTCAATAAGCCAAGAACAATTAAAAAGCTAAAAAATGATATAATTCGGCACATTAACAAAATTGAACCTTAAATATATCTGAGTGTCATAGTCATAGATCCTTCATTGTCATAGATCATTGATTGTCAAAGATCCTTCACAATCACAATAAAAAATATTGAGATAATTCTCTGAAAAGTTTTTATTTTATTTCCAATTAACATCGTGCGTTTAGGTCGTGGTATCAAAAGTCAACCCTTTGGTCTTGCAGTGATAGCTTTTTTGCTATTGGTCCGCTTTTCGAGATCTACAGCTCATGTTGAAGGCAAAACTTCATAGGCAGCTTAAGAAGATAACTTGATATACAAGGTTCGATGAAAAACTACTCAATTTAAAATTTTCCTCGGAATATCTGATTCCAGCAGGCTTTCAATTAGTCTTTAAATATTTCGTTAGCTGATGGAACCCGGTATATTGGAATTTTATCAGAAGTAGACTGTAAAGTTTCAGCTTAAACATAAACTCGATATTTTGAAAATCGGTTCAAGCAAACAAAATTGATCACTGCAAGGCCAAAACGTAAATGTTTTGAGGCCACTCTGTGCATAATCGACGTCGGCGAAAAATTGAAAAACTTTTTTCGAATTTTTTTTTAGAAGATCTATCTTAATACATGTGGTGTTGAAATACAAAAAAAAACGGTTTCCTGTCCAACTAAGAACACGCGAAATTTTCACCAATTTTGCATTGCTTTATTTGCCAACTTGTAGAAACACTGCAATCAGAAATCAAATCGCTGGCAGCAATTACAAGTGCCAGTTCTAAGGCCAGTTCTAAAGTTGGTCCATATTTTCCACTGTTACATTAATTGTGTAGAACAGTTGATTTTGTTTTATTCCCTTGTGTCTTTAAAGTTCATTTTCAGTCAGTGTAGTTTCTGATTGAATCCCGCTCTGATTCTGATCTGTATTTGTAAAGCTTCAACCTATTCTCCTAATTTTTTCTTATGAAAACTCCCGACCCGCCCGCGTGCGGGTAGTTCAAATAAATCTTCACCACTGCCGGGCGCTTCGGCCGCCCTTAATGAGTTTATGCTGAAGACATCATCAGATATCGCTCTAATTCAAGAACCATATGTCTAGAAGGGGAGAATTGGAGGATTGGGGAACTTCAGAGGACCAATAGTCTACTGCCAATCTGAAGAAAACCCAAGTACATGTATTCTCATATGGAATACAGTTGGAGCTATACCGTTATGGGCACACTGTAGTAGGGACCTTACGTGTATAAAAATAAAACTCAAATCGAAGGTCGCGGACCGAACATTAGTTCTGCCACACGACCAAATAGGACAACCGCCTCCAAGTGAATTGCGCAATTTTGTGGAGCACTGTAAGGCGTCTAAGACCAGAACTGTCATTGGGTGTGACGCAAACGCGCACCACATTTTGTGGGGCAGCAGTGACACCACTAGACGGGGCGAGTCTCTTTTAGAATACCTCACGACCTCGTCACTTGAAGTCTGCAATCAGGGAAATGAACCAACCTTTGTAACAACGGTACGAAGGGAGGTCATAGACATTGCAATCTGCTCAGACCGCACCAGCGAACTGATAAGAGATTGGCATGTGACGGATACACCCAGTTTGTTCGATCATAGATACATACGATTCTACATCGAGTCGGAAGAGGTTCCCCTCTCGGTGTATAGAAATCCGAAAACAACTGATTGGGCCTCATACAAAGAGAACTTTAGCCTACGAATCCGCGTGCCCTCTGAAGTCGAAGAGACAAACGGGGACATTCAAATGGTGGATCCTGGGACTCTCAACGATGAGGGAAACGGTGAGGAAGCTATTTAACAGGGCCAAACGAAACGGGGCTTTCTGGGGTAAATAGAAAACATCCCTGACTACATATGGCAACGCCATCAAAAAATAAAAAAGGGCTTTATAGAGGAAAGAATGCAAGGATATCGAAGATATGCCGAGCTACGCCAGACTCTCTAAAGCACTCTCAAAAAAACCACAACAAAAAGTGGGCTCCCTGATAAAACCGCAAGGAGAATATGCAACAACAGAAGAGGAGTCTCTGGAGCTTGTGCTTAAGACCCACTTTCCTGGATCAATACTGGGAACAGGCTGAGAACAGGAGATACCGGTGATCTACAGGACGCGACAGCGTGCACTGAAAGAGCACTGGACTCTTGCCTCAAGCATCGTAAACCAGTCCAAAGTTAAGTGGGCCATGAGTTCCTTCAGACCATTTAAATCACCGGGAACAGATGGCCTAATGCCAGTTCTGCTACAACAGGGAACAGATTTACTGGTGCCCCTCTTGTGCAAGATGCTCCGGGCCAGCTTGGCCCTGGCATATATACCAATGGAATGGAGAATGGCGAAAGTAGTATTCCTTACAAAACCAGGGCGGGCGACGTATGTCCAGGCCAAATCCTTTCGCCCGATCAGCCTAACATCTTTCTTACTCAAAACACTAGAAAAGCTGATCGACAGACACATCAGGGAAGAGGTTCTTACTAGAAGTCCTCTACACCACAACAAATATGCCTACCGAATGGAAAAATCCTGCGAATCGGCTATCCACGAGTTGGTGCAGACGGCACAAACCTCATTAGAGCGCAAAGAAATTGCTCTGGCGCTTTTCTGGACATAGAGGGAGCCTTTGACAATACCTCTTTTCAGTCAATCGTCGGAGCGGTGAAAAATCGTGGAGTGGAGCCTATAATATGTAAATGGATCGAAAACAAGCTGAGTTGCAGAACGGTTCCTGTCGCACTCCATGAAGTCAGCATGGAAGCACGGGTAGCCGGTGGATGTCCGCAGGGAGGAGTTTTGTCGCCCTTGCTGTGGAGCCTGGTGGTGGGCCGGCTCCTGTCGTCTCTTGAGGGGAAAAGTTTCTACGCAATGGGATATGCGGATGATATCTCCATTGCTATACAAGGAAAGTTTGGAGACATTGTATCATCATTGATGCAGCGGGAGCTAAACATCCCCGAACAATGGTGTAACACGGAAGGGCTGAAAATTAGCCCATCCAAGACATCTATAATCGCTTTCACAAGGAAGAGAGATCTAAGAGCCCTAAGGCAAAGGTCTATATTTGGAAACAATATACACATGTCTGACACTGTCAAATATCTTGGGGCAACCCTGGATAAGAAGCTGTTGTTTACAGAACATGTGGAACAGAAAACAAACAAGGCGATCAGGGCTTTATGGACCTGCAAACGCACTTTTGGAAAAACATGGGGAATTACCGAAGATGGTGTACTGGACGTACGTCACCATTGTGAAACCCATAATCACATATTCCGCCGTCATATGGTGGCATAGAACCAAAATCAGCACATATCGACAGTCCCTGAACAAAGTTCAGAGGCTGGTGTGTCTGGGAATAACTGGAGCAATGTCAACGACGCCGACGGCCGCTATGGAGACACTCCTGTTGCTGGAGCCGTTGCATTTATCCATTGAAGCTGAGGCCCTAAGAAGCGCTTACCGTATGGGTGACGATGTCTTCAGGAAAGCGACGGATTTGGGACACAGTGCGATCTTCAGAAAATGGAAGACAAAGAAAACGAGATTGCTGCGGAACTTGCTAAGGCAGGGACCGAGAAACCACTGACCAACCAAGAAACTCCTTGTGGTATATCTCATGCCCAAGTTAGGGTGGCAGTTGGGCAGTGGATCTTGGAACAACACAGAAAGTACTGGGAGGAGACACCGCGACTCTATATCGCAAAGCAGTTGGTGGGACCTCCACAACCAGTACGTAGAAATGAACTTCTAGGTCTCAGCAGGCAAAAAATAAGGAGGATAGTGGCTTTTTTAACAGGACACGCCCCCTGCAAAAAACACCTCTTCAGGATGGGACTGAGCAATCAACCGACCTGCAGGGGTTGCGAATTAGAGAACGAAACTACTCTGCATGTCATCTGTTGCTGCACGTCATATGCAACAGGTAGACGAAGACTCCTGTGAGGGGATGAAATTCCACCAGACCAGATCATGCGAACTCCCCTCAAGATTCTTCTGGAATTCATTGAATATACAGGGATAATGAGGGAGTAAAATTACGA